CTAGGAAATTCACCTCTTTGACTCTTCTGAAAATAAAAACTAAATTTTCATTTTCTAAGATTGAAAGCTTAGGAATGAGGACTTAAACATTTGCAGAAAAGCTCAAAATTGTATGAAAATAACCGGAAGAATTCACAATTTTTTACAACGAACATATGAAGAATTAATATTAAGAAACAGTTACTTGTAGTTACACAGTAAAAACTACAAAAAATAATCTGTTTGGAATGAGAACAATGGACGGATAAAGAATAATGTTTCTTCAAATATCCTAAAGATCCATGCCAAATAAAATAAGATTATTCTTAACATCGTCTTTTATTAATTAGCAAATATTGAACAAAGCTGAAAAAATTTCAAGCGTCTCAGCTAAGCTTTCTAGTCATCTAAGCTTTCCATCTATATAAAGAAAACTGAAGAAGCTTAATTTTATTTCCAAACAAAATTCTGTGCATGTAAATTTTTCGTCCTCAGATGAAAAAGATTAGCATAATTAATTTGGTAGTATTACCTTCTTTAAAGGAGAACAGTTTGAAATTTAATTTTATTTAAAAATGTTACAATTTACTCTGTAGCTGAAATGCGTTATAAGTAACATTAAAAATGCTCTTTATTAATTAAACTAATGCTACAAATGTTCCTAAAAATTGCAAATTTGATACGTACATAATATAAAAGCAGTGTTTATACCTCTTCCATACTCATATTTAAATATTTTAAAGAATATTTGTAAGTATATTACGGTGAATATTTAAATACTGTAAACTGTATTTATAATCTGTATTAGCATAATTAATTTGATAGTATTACCTTCTTTAAAGGAGAACAGTTTGAAATTTAATTTTATTTAAAAATGTTACAATTTACTCTGTAGCTGAAATGCGTTAGAAGTAACATTAAAAATGCTCTTTATTAATTAAACTAATGCTACAAATGTTCCTAAAAATTGCAAATTTGATACGTACATAATATAAAGCAGTGTTTATACCTCTTCCATACTCATATTTAAATATTTTAAAGAATATTTGTAAGTATATTACGGTGAATATTTAAATACTGTAAACTGTATTTATAATCTGTATTAGCATAATTAATTTGATAGTATTACCTTCTTTAAAGGAGAACAGTTTGAAATTTAATTTTATTTAAAAATGTTACAATTTTACTCTGTAGCTGAAATGCGTTAGAAGTAACATTAAAAATGCTCTTTATTAATTTAAAACTAATGCTACAAATGTTCCAAAAAATTGCAAATTTGATACGTACATAATATAAAAGTAGTGTTTATACCTCTTCCATACTCATATTTAAATATTTTAAAGAATTTTGTAAGTATATTACGGTGAATATTTAAATACTGTAAACTGTATTTATAATCTGTATTAGCATAATTAATTTGATAGTATTACCTTCTTTAAAGGAGAACAGTTTGAAATTTAATTTTATTTAAAAATGTTACAATTTACTCTGTAGCTGAAATGCGTTAGAAGTAACATTAAAAATGCTCTTTATTAATTAAACTAATGCTACAAATGTTCCTAAAAATTGCAAATTTGATACGTACATAATATAAAAGTAGTGTTTATACCTCTTCCATACTCATATTTAAATATTTTAAAGAATATTTGTAAGTATATTACGGTGAATATTTAAATACTGTAAACTGTATTTATAATCTGTATTAGCATAATTAATTTGGTAGTATTACCTTCTTTAAAGGAGAACAGTTTGAAATTTAATTTTATTTAAAAATGTTACAATTTACTCTGTAGCTGAAATGCGTTAGAAGTAACATTAAAAATGCTCTTTATTAATTAAACTAATGCTACAAATGTTCCTAAAAATTGCAAATTTGATACGTACATAATATAAAAGTTGTGTTTATACCTCTTCCATATTCATATTTAAATATTTTAAAGAATATTTGTAAGTATATTATGGTGGATATTTAAATACTGTAAACTGTATTTATAATCTGTATTAGCATAATTAATTTGGTAGTATTACCTTCTTTAAAGGAGAACAGTTTGAAATTTAATTTTATTTAAAAATGTTACAATTTACTCTGTAGCTGAAATGCGTTAGAAGTAACATTAAAAATGCTCTTTATTAATTAAACTAATGCTACAAATGTTCCTAAAAATTGCAAATTTGATACGTACATAATATAAAAGCAGTGTTTATAGTTCTTCCATACTGATATTTAAATATTTTAAAGAATATTTGTAAGTATAATACGGTGGTTATTTAAATACTGTAACCTGTATTTATAAACATATTATTCTTTATGCATTATAAAAATAAAGCAGAGATATACAGCGGTTATTTATATATTTTAAGAGCAATTTCGATGAAGAAATTTAAAAAGCAAATGTATTGGAAAAAAACATCTGCCTATAGATTATATGAAACATCAATGAGAAAATGTTTTGAAAAAAATGTCTGCCTACAGATTATTTGAAATGAGAAAAATCGTCTGCTACTTTTAAACGTATTCTTCTTTCAAAATGATGCATGTAAACAAGCTGTGTCGTTTTTAGCTTTCCGAAGACAAATATTCCTATTCCATAATTCAAAAAATGTGAAATGCAAGGTATTAAAATGAATCAGTGAAAAATAATCAATATTATTAATCGACAACAGAAAAACCATCAATCATTACTTCTACATGGAATGAAATATACAAATACCCGAGAAAGGTACTTACTGATTCTTATGTTTAAAAAGTCAAACAAGAGAAAATGAAAAGGTCTAACTCATTATCAAAAAAATTTACAAAATTGGTTCCGTCGATGCAAAGAAAGTTTTAGTAAGGATTTTATGATTGTCGCAGGATACACTTACAATGACAAATTAAAAGTAAGAAAAGTGGGGAAAATGTTAAAATCAATTCAACGTTTTAATCACGTCAAAACGTTTAAAATCAACTCAACTCAAGAGAAAGATTTTTGTCCGATATTTAGAGAAGAAATTTTATTTCTTAATGAATTTTTAAGGGGGATTTATTTATTTTTATCTATTAAGTTATTTTATGTTCAGTAGTTTTAATTTCAACCTCACTTTCCTGCCACAATGCAAACTTTTAGTTCGCGCGTATTCGAATGAGGTAGGAGGAGATAGTATTTAAAAAAGGTTTTAGATTGTTTAATCAGAGCTTATTCCGCCTGCTCAAGGCCACATTAGCAGTTGAATCTCTGCGATAGCTGTATATCTGCCGCGTTGAGTTATTCTTGCCATTAGGGCTTGTCGGGCAGGCATAAATTCGGGCTAACTTTCGTTTTAATTATTTCTGAGTAGCCTTAGGTTAAATTAATATTTAATTTGAATTTGAATTCCTTGTTTGTAAATCCGCCACAATATAGGGCAATGTCAAAATTTAAGAATTATTGATAAATGCTAGACAAGAGCGGACGTGGGCAGTACCGATTAACCATAATAGTAGAAGGATGGTGCTTTCGTCCTCCGTTACTACTACTATAAGGTATCTCTCCCGCCTTCTTAGCGAGCCTTCGTGGTGTAGTGGTCTGCACGCTGGGAGTGTAATCCAGAGTTCCTTGGTTCGATTCCCGGCGAAGGTATTGCTCAATTGTCATCTATCCTGCTTTAAAATATACATAATGTCTCTACAGTGGAGCCCGAACTAAAAGGATCGTGGATGATAATTCTCCACACCCAGGATTTGGCGATTAGGTCTACTAAAACCCCAGCAGCCCTTCAAAAAGGGGTGTATATAAGGTATTTATTCCGCCTTTTTAGCGAGCATTCGTGGTGTGGTGGTCTGCACGCTAGACGCGTAATCCAGAGGTCCGTGGTTCGATTCCCTGCGAAGGCGGTGCTCAATTTTCACTTTAAAAAAATACCTAATGTCTGTACACTACTACTACTTTTTTGAGTTCACGCCATAAATGCTGGCTGGTTTTGTAAGCATCAGGAGTTTCTGGACATAGTGATAAGTCGCTTAGGTTCAGCTTGAGACTCAAAGTAGTTTATGATTCCCAAGGAGGGGAGACTGTACAACTTTGAAAGAGTGAAATCCCATCAAGATAAAGAAACGAGTCGTTTTTCGAAATTTAATACTACATTACTTGAGAAAAGGAAGACTGATACAGGTATTGCATTGATAAGTCGTTTAGGTTCAGCTTGAGTTTCAAAGTAGTTTATGATTCCCAAGGAGGGGAGACTGTACAACTTTAAAAGAGCGAAACCCCATCAAGAAAAAGAAACGAGTCGTCTTTCGAAACGTAACACTACATTACTTGACAAAAGACTGATAGAGGTATTGCATATATATCTTTTCTACATATTTCTGGCAAGTCTTTTGGCTTTTGGTCTCTTGAAAAGAGTTCTTTCTAAGAGAAAACCCATCACGAATGGTGGACTTAGGGAAGTAATGTAAGAGGAATGGAAATCAATAATACCCCTGGAAATCAGTAATACCCTTGGAAAATCAGTAATACACCTGGCAAATTTCCGAAATTCCCTTCTATCATGAAAATCACGTTGTAGACCCATTCAGAAAAAATGTTATAAGATCGAATATTTAAAAAAATATTCTTTCCATTTCAAACATTAATTAAAGAGCCCTGAAATGATTCTAAAAGGTGTAAACACCCCCTGTACGGCAGACGATTGTGTAATGTAATGAAAAGTTGAATTACCTTTTCTTAAACTACCCTGCCTATGCCCTTCTGTCAAAGTGAGTCTTTGGTTTTGCACCAAATGTAATACTTATAAGCATTTTAACAAAATAACACATTTTCATTTTTATAAAAGACTTCATATGTGATAACTTATATTTAAAAGTTTAAATCTCGTCAATATCACCAGATTATTTTTTTCAGAATTACATATATTTCTAAAACGTTTATATGAAACTTATTTTGAACAATTTAAGATTTTTTACACCATGCTCATAATTTTATTTATATCTGTACTATGAATTAATGGACCATTTAACGTATAAATCGAAAATATGAATAAAATTACTGAGGCGTACTTACGTATAGTTAAACTTGTCCACAGCAACTGACATATGTCTGGGCATGAAAGGGCATGTATACATATTTCTGTCGTCCTCCGGAATCATGTCCACATCGTGGAAGACAAAGCAATGGAAGTCTGAATCTTTGAGTGCTTCCCTCACGCCAGCATTCATAAGGACACCTTTGTTGAATGTATCGTTGCCAAACTGCGACAGAGAAAAGAGACTTATGTATTCTTAAATACATATAGGGAAGACAAGAAATTAAAATAAATAAAAACAACACGGAAATTGATTTATGGATAGGAAGGAAAATCTTCAACTGAAGTCAACTTAAATCTCCCCATTGCTTGTATATGTTATTTTTCAATTATTTCACATACAAAATGAACCGTAATTGTGTCCAGGACTTTCATGCAACATTGTAAGAGTAATATACGATAACCTGCTTGATGGTAGTACAAAGTCAAAACATTTTTACGGATTTTATTTTTCTTGAGTTCGCTTTTCGTCATTTGGCTACATCTATTATGTAACCCATTTCGGCCGAGTAATAGACTACAAAGTCCGTGGGCTGGAATGGTTTATATACTAATTTGGCTCGTGAATCAGGATCGGAAGCGTTTGTAGTCCTTTTCGGCCTACAGACTCTTTCGTAAATTTGAACACATTTTCGTAGATCTGAAAACATTTCGTAGATTGAAGACATTACATTACGTCTCTTTCGGCCTACTGACTCTTTCGTAGATCTGAAGACATTTCTCGTAGATCTGAAGACATTTCGCAGATCTGAAGATATTTTTCGTGGATTGGAAGATATGAAGACGTTTCGTAGATCTAAAGAAATGATAAAGTCAACTCCGAAAGACTTTATCATTGTCTAATATACGTAGCGTATTCGGAAACTAAGTACCGTTTCATTCTAGCGCCATCGCAGTGCTGTGGTAGGCGTCCCGCGCATGCGCACTAGTCTTTCTTTTTCACTGACTTTCAATTGTCGCCATTTTGTTTGCTCTATATTGTGTTTTCAATTTGCTGTGCACATTCAAAATGTTTAAGACAATTAGTTCTCCCGCTGACTGTGAGATTCGTGCCTTGATTAAATTTTTGAACGCGACGAATGTTAAACCGGCCGAAATTTATCGTCAAGTGACAGAAGTTTACGGTGAATACGCGATAAGTGATGGAATGGTGAGAAAGTGGGTAAGAATGTTTAATGCAGGTCGAACAAATGTCCACGCCGAGGCTCGGAGTGGTCGGCCTTCTGTTGTCACCGATGATTTGGTAAGGAAAGTTGATGAAGCAATTCATGAGAACAGATGCTTCACAATGACAACTCTTTCAGAGGCATTTCCACAAATTTCACGTACTGTTTTGTTCGAAATTGTGTCTGACCGCTTGAATTATCGCAACTGTGTTCCCGATGGGTTCCAAAAATGCTCACTGATGTTCACAAAACAAAGCGACTTGGTAGTGCCCTGACATTTCTCACGCGGTACACTAATGAGGGAGAAAACTTTTTAAACCAAATTGTGACAGGCGATGAAACTTGGGGTGTGTCATTTCACACCAGAATCGAAACAACAATCGATGGAGTGGAGACCACACTCATTCTCCGAAAAAAACAAAAGTTCCCAAGTGACAATGTGATCACAAAAAATCATGTGCACTGTCTTCTGGGATAGGAAAGGCGTTTTGCTTACTGAATTTCTACCAGAGAGGTGAAAACCATTAATGCGGCACGATATTTTGAGACTTTAACAAAACTAAGGCGTGCCATTCAAAACAAACGAAGAGGAATGCCTCAGTAAAGGAATTGTGTTGTTCCATGACAATGCTCGGCCCCATACTGCTGGTGTCACTCAATCGTTAATTTCGACAGTTTCATTGGGAGCAGTTCGATCACCCGCCTTACAGCCCGGACTTGGCGCCGTCCGACTATCACTGTTTCTGCACATGAAGCGCGAGCTTGGTGGCAAGCGCTTTGGATCTGACGATGACACGAAAAAATGCTGTGGAGTCGTGGTTATCGAAACTGGCGGGAAGTTTCTTTGACGAGGGTATACAAAAACTGGTCACCCGTTATGACAACTGTTTGATCATTGGCGGAAGCTATGTTGAAAAATAGTTTAAGACATGTATTTTCATGTAAAAATAAAATTGGATTCGAAAAAATTGTTTTACTATTTTTTTTTTTTTTTTTCAAAACGGTACTAAGTTTCCGAATACGCAACTTATTTAACTTATTCAGTTTTTCAATGTTTTAGGACAATTAAATGAGTCACCAATCTACTTTCATATGAGCAGTCCATGCCTGTCTCACCAAAAAATTGCCCAGTAGTTAGATAATATCAAATATTTACTGCTAGTAGACAATGTCCTGTTTCTTCTTGTCAATCATGTTTAACACCGTGTAAAATTCTACTTCTGGGAATTACTTACAGACTAGTGGTTTATGATGCATTTGCTCTGGTGCTTTATTAAATTATCGCGAAACATTAACACGCTGTCATTGACACATCATGCATTGTCGCGATTACTGTACTGGCTACCCAACCGCAGTGTCAGTCAAAACTAAAGCACAAACGAATGGAAATAAATTATAGGGAGAAATGTACTTGCCAGTGGAAAGAAGTGCAGATATCAAAATTTGCAAGGTATGCAAAAACGTCCGAGTATTTCTCGTTTCATTACACTTAGCTATATTACTTACGTTTCTTTGCAATATAGTGATACAGTAAGTTTTCAGAACCCTCGGTAGTCCCTCTGCATATATGCAAGCAAATATAAGAAGAAATTCCTGCAGAGGCTGTTCCACATTTTTTAGACGATTTTGGTAAGCGGTAATAAAAACTCGTTTGCTGCAAAAGAAGTAATTGCAATTGTACTGTGTTTTTAAAAGTCAAAATTATCGTCTGTGGCTTGAAAGTTTTGTTTTTATTCAAAATGGCAAATTTAACAAAGCAGTAGTTCGAAGGCTACATTTACGCTCTTTCCGAAGGGAAATATGCATACTCCGTTATCCAAAAACGATACTAGAGCCATGGGTTTGTGATATCTAAAGCGTCGATAGGTAATATCATTAACAAGAAAGGAAAAAAAAAAAAACGTCAAATTGGATCCTCAAGTGGGACAAAAATTCCAAACAAGTATCCAAGAAAAAAACGCACATCTTCGACTATTGCAAAGGGTACGTTGTTTAATGTTAAAAGATAATCCCCCTATATCAGGACAGTTTGCAAAATCATTAAAATGCTCGTGTCCACTGTAAACAAAACGATAAACGTTGATTAAATCTAAGAAAGCGAAAAAACGCAATGTGCATCGTCTTCTTCAAAAGCATATCGCTCAACGCAGGACACGCTGCAGAATTCTATATGAGAAAACTTATCCAAAGAAAACTGGAAACATTGTCACAATAGATGAAGCATGGGTGTATTTAATGACTGTACAAAAAAAGAGCCATTTATTATCATAAAAAGGGAAGAAAAATTTAAGTACTGGTTTCAAAGAATCGAAAGAAAGTTTTTCTAAGGGATTCATGATTGTTGCTGATTTTTCTTATAATTGCAAGTTAAAAATAAAGAGAGTGCAAAAAAAATGTCAAAAGATTAACTCCAAATATTATCAGGAACCTATTTTATCACCAATTTTTCTGAATGAAATACCATCGCTGTGAAGTGCCATCCATCTGTGAGACTCCATCAGGACAAAGCTAGCAGTCATACATCAAAATCCACTGTAAATTTCCTAAAAGAAATGGAACAAAAAACTGGTATCAAGGCCATACCCTTCACTGATATCCCTACTAAATCTCCCGACGTGTCAACTATGGATTTTTGTGCTTTCGGACTTTTAAAAACTGCATTATCCAAACGTTGTCCCCAAACCCTAACAGAACTCTGGAAAGCTGTTCGGGAGGAATGGGATAGAATATCTCTTCTGCCACTTCAAAAGGCATTATTATCCTGGAAATTGCGGTGTCGAAAGATAGTTCAGAATAAGGGATGTCAAATAGAACATTTAAAACACAAGAATTTTATGTAATTTAGTTTTGTGAATACAATATACATCGTCTAAAAATGTGTGAACAGCGTCTGTACAACTCCCTTTCTCTCAAGTATGGATTGAAAACATGATTACCAGATTTAAATTTAAAATACAGACTACGCTGAAAAAAATCTACGAAGCAGACAAATTAAAAAATATATTTAAAAATAATATTAATTATAAACTAAAATAAAATATTTGATAATATTTACGTGCAGCTGAGTAAAACGAAATGTTCTGTAGGAGAGCTATAAAAGTAAATATGTTAATTTTCATGTAAATTATTCACAGTAACTAAGGTGAAGAAATTGAGATTATGCAGACAAATGAAGGAGCAGTTTCTTTTAGAACACTCAAAGAGTAGAACTCAAGATTTTGCAAAAGAAGACTGGTTTGTATTGGTGAATATTTTACTGGAAAACAAATATTCTGTTTTAAAGATGCTTAGCAGGAGTATATCAGAATCCACTTCGTATTTAAATTTAACGTACAGAATATTTTTCATCGAATAATATTTATATTAAACTTATCTCTGATAAATTATAATTCCAGTTAACATAAATTTGATTAACCGAAACTCTATTTAACAGAAACGGTACTGAAAAAGGATCAAACAAATTATAGAACTCAAGATGTTGCAAACGAACACTCCGAAGACTGGTTTATATATTGTGAACATGTTACTAGAAATTAAACATTCTCTTTTATTGATGTTTAGGAGTACAGAAGAATCTACTCCGTATTTAGCTTTAATATACAGAATACCTTTGATCAAATTCTATTTATATTAAACTTATGTCTGATGAAGTAGAATCTCAGTTAACGGAAATTCAATTTAACAGAAATCATATTGTAAAAGGATTAAACAAAGTGTATAACTCAAGATGTAGCAAAAGAGGACTCAGAAGATTGGTTTATATTCTGAATATTTTACCATAAAATAAACATCCAAGAATCTCTCCTTATTTACCTTTAATGTACAGAATACCTTTGATCAAATTCTATTTATATTAAACTTATCTCCGATAAAGTTGAATTCCAGTTAATCGAAATTCTACTTAACAGAAACGCTACAGAAAAAAATCTGATGACATGAATTCCTTGTACGGAATATTAAATTATACGCGTTTTTTCTTGCATTTTATTTAAACTTATTA